ATACCATCGGGGGTAATCGTCTACACCAAGATTTGCCAAGAATCCTCGTCGATACGAAAGCTAAGCTGCTAATAACTGGAGGGGAGCAAACCAAGGGTGAGTGGGCCTGAAAAATAAAGTTTTAATAAAAAAAACTTTTGAAAACGTTATAACCCCTCGCTGCAAAACAAGTATAGTTTCCAAAAATATACATACTACATATAGTATGAAAATTCCTACCATAACCTGCAAAATATCAAGATATCAATACGCCACAAATCTCGTACGTAAACATATTATGTCAATAACCACATAATCTAGCATAGGCAAATATATCATAATGAGTGCTCATCGACATATGTTGACACACAAGTTCATGCAACGTAGTCTGACATGAACAGGACTGGTGTAAGGATGCTATACACTCTAGTGCTACAATCACGTGAAAACTAGCGCTATTCGTGGCCACATATGAGTCAGAGTTGCCTATTGCAACATGTACGACAAGACTGGCACCTACTTGGATTCAAGGCGAGCGTACGGTGAGGATGTGAACATGCACGTGATTTCGCTAAGTCTTGTAAACTTTAGTCTAATCCTGGAGTACGTAAGAAATTCTTTTACAAATGCATAAATGGAAACTATCCATCATATATATATAAAGGAAAATACGCATTCACCTGAAGTTCACGCTACAACTCCCTAGCATGAATATCGACACGTCACGAATGATCGTCGCCTAGAACAAATATCAAATCACGTTTCAAAATTGTTAATGATGGAACACGTAACTTACATAAAACACTTCCCCAAGGATGTTCTAGAATGATTTGTAACCCATTGATCAAAAGTCAACTGTTGGTCAAAGGTCGATGGTAGGGTCCACAACCCTACGTAACTCGATATGAAAGATCCACATCTTGGATTTCCGATCCGTAACTTTCCAAGAGTTTCAATAAGCTTCTAGAACAACATCGTAAAGTTTCAGAACGATCCAACGGTTTGATCTCCACCAATCGCTAAAATTAAGTGGTTGCCAACGTTTAGATTTACAAATTTAGAAAACCCATCCGGGAAGATCCATACGTCATATTCCTAATCCGCTAGTTCCTAATATCTTTAAATATTATGTACTATTATGTATTAAAGTTTGGTGATGATCCAATGATCGGATCATTGAATCATATAATAACCAAGCGGTGGCCCTTAACAGAAATATAACCAAACAACAGAATTTCATCAATTAGATGTCTAATATGCAATCAGGGCACCCATTTTAGCCTAGGGAGGTCAAATGGTGTCTCTACCCACGCACCGCCGTACGTGGCGGCCAGAAAATTCAACTAATTCCAAAAATTCTCAAATTTTACAACAATGAAGATCTCAATGAGTAGAGCAAGTTTTCTATCTGTGGCCATGTCCAATTTGGCCAAGAAAGGCCCAAAATTAGGTCGCACCTGTCGGAAACTTTAAAATGGGTAAGCTTCAATTCACCATTGCCAATGCTCCGCCGCCCCTACCACTGGTTGGGTCGTGTTTCTGGTCTAAAGGGAGTTGATTAAGGGTGGTGGTGGGTGGTGAAATTCCCCGGATTTTGGTCAGTTGGGTGTGAGGGAGCACAAGCCGACGGGAAGCTTGGGAAGGTTTTTTTTTTTTTTCCTAATTGCTGTCTCTCTTTCTTCTCCAATTGGCCTTAAAACTCTAATCTAATTGGTCCTTGAACAAAATCTGATTAGGCCTCATCCCATAAGGTGGGAATTCACTTGATTAAAAATTAAGGTTTAACTGTTCAATTTAATTCCTAAAATTAACATAATTGAAATTAACTTATGTTTATACCATATTTAGAGCCTCATATTTAGATCTCGTACAAATACTCAGGGGACTTAAATGTAATTATGTGATAAAGGAAGGGGCAAATATGTAATAAGTGAGGAGTCCTTATTCTATAAAAGGACCCCTCACCCTTACAATTAGAGGAGGTGATGCGTAAAATAAGTTAACACACAAATTAACCATCTTTTTGACAATTGTAGTATAGATGTAAGTAGGGTATCGTTCTAGGCCGGGGATTAGGAGGGATTGCTAATCTATTCTAAATTAATTTAAAAATATTAAACAAGACTCAAGGACACAAAACTAGGCTAAAAACTCTAATAACTCGAAACACACTTAGAATGACTCAAAATAATGAAAACAATCAAATTAGACACTAGGAATTGAAATGGACGGAAATTGAATTAAAAGACTAACAACAATGAAAACTAACTAAATAATATAATTTAATAATGGGGGGGGGGTTTGGTTTTGACAAGAAGTAAATTAAACTTAAATAAATTACAGAATTGACAAAAGCATGAAATTAAGGTGAAAGGATAGGTGACGGACTAACTAGAGGGTTCTTCTCCACACATGACACATATGCAACCTAAATTGATTTTCAGTTGTTCTTTCAATAAATTGTAAATCTCAACGCCCCAAATTAACCGTGAATTGCACTAATTAACCCTCAGTTTTTTCCACAAGTTATTGGGTTGGATGATTGCATACGACAACCCAAAACATTCCCTACAAGTTCCCTACATGAATTGCATAATAGAGATACAAGCAAGAATCATTAAGTTCTATGAAAAATATAAGCATTGACGAGGCACTCGTTACTATGATTTGCATGAAACTTATGCCAAGAATTTACTTAACGTGATTGTGACTAGCAACCTTCACTACTTGTGAATATAAGTTCATAACGATTAGGTGAAACTCCCTTATATTCTAGCGTCAAATTCATGCATGTAAATTAAGTATGCATTCTTAATCGACATACAAAAATAAGCTATCAATCAAGCAGTTAAGCAAATTAAATCACAACTCAGAAATCACAACTGAAGGTAATCAATTCATATTACAAATATATTCATGGCTTTGAATTAACCTCTAGCCAAAATAAATTTAGTTACACATTATTAAAACAGAAATAAAATATAAGTTTGGAAAGATTTAACCGAGAGAGAAGGCAGCTTGCTGCTTCTGTCTGTCCGCGCCTTCTCTCTGTTCGAGTCTATATCCTCTTTGTCCTTCCGTGCCTTCCTCCTTTCTGCGCTGCTCCCTCCTTATTTTCTGCGCCTCTGTCGTCAGTCTCTCTGCTTCTCTGCCGTGTCAGTCTCTCTGCTTCTCTTTGTTTCCTGCCTTCCGCACACTTCCCTGCTCTCCCTTCTATTCTACTCGTTTCTCTTAGTCTCTCCCCGTGTCTCTATCTCTCTCCCCTTCACTCCCTTGCCTCTCTGGCTTCCTTTTATTTTCTGCTCTCCAGTCCGTGTCCCACTTCTCTTCTTTTCTCTTTGCGCCTGCTGTCCACTGACTTCTGCTCTCTGTCAGTTTTCTTCTTTTATTTTCTGCTCCTCTCGTTTCTCTTGGTCTCTCCCCCACCTCTTATTCTTTTATTTTTCTTTTCTGCTTGCCACTCATTCCGTGTCCTCCTTCATGCATTTGCTGCTGTATGTTAATCATTCATCATGATTTTATGCTTTCTTTTTTTATGTTGTATCTGAAGTGCCCCTTTGCTTTTCTCTTCTTTGTTCGTTGCCTTTAGCCAAAGGGCAATGACAATTCAAAGCACCAAGCCCATCATTTTCTCATTTCATTATTTTCTTATTCCTTCCACCATTCCATGTCTTCCATGCCGTGCTTTCCTTTCCATCCCATTTATTTCTGTTGCTCAGTGTCTTTTATTTTCTTTTCAGCCCATTTTGTTTGAAATTAATCCTAAAACAAAATTAACTGTACATTAACACAAGGTAAGGTAAAATGCCACAATTTTAACACAAAAACATCACAAAGACTTTAGAAATGGATGGTATAAATGCATGAAATATATGATTGATCAGGAGGCCAATTCCTAAGGCTCCTCACCCCCTCAAGCTCACTCTCAGAGCTCTCTCTCTCCCTCAAATAAATACATAATCAGTGTGGACGTAGCCCAAACCTTGGGGTGAACCACGATACATCTTGTGTTACTTACATTTCTTGCAGATTCACGGTCGGATTTACGTTGTTCCAAGACCTCCGGTTTTGTGCATCAATATTTGGCACCGTTTGTGGGAATCAACAAGAAAAGCTATGTCGGTTCTCTCTCAATATTTCACGTCCGCTGTGAATATGCAAAATCACAAAAAACCCAAAAAACAGAAAAGATCCAAATCTGAAACACTCCTCAATTCCCCCCCTCTCTCTCTCTTGCTCTAACCTTCTTTCTTCACTCCCACTTGTTTCTCTCTCCTCATTTTCTCTCTCTACATTTGCTTTCAACTTCAGATTTTAGAGAGAGAAAGTAAGATAGCAAAAAACATGAGGAGAGCTACAAAATGGTTAAAGGGCTTGCTGGGGATGAAGAGAGAGAAACACCACGTCGACAACACCAACATCATGTCCAACAACCGGAAAGAGAAGCAAAGGTGGAGCTTTGCCAAGTCAGGGAAAGACACTACCACCAATCATCCGTCGAATGTTCCTGTCCCTGCTGACTCTGCCTGGCTCATATCCTATCTTGCCGAGTCAGAGAATGAGCATATCAAACATGCAATTGCAGTGTCGTATTCTCCTACGACGACTCCGCCACCCTCGCCGCCAAGTTTTGCAGCCAGCAGATCAGCGTCGGTTTCGGCGCTAACGAGTCCGCCTCCGCATCAGCCGCAGATGCTGCCGCCATGATGCTCTAGCACCAGCTTTGAGAGCAGAAATTGTAGCAGACAGAGATGATCAGCAAGCACAAGCTAAAATCCAGGAACCAGATTGCAGCAATGGCGATCCGTGACGAACACCGCTTCTAGTTCGACCTCAATATTTCGTCTGTCCATCCTCCTTCCTAAGGAATCCCGAGCTTGCAGACTTCTTCACCACTTTCTGCTTCTCAAAAGATGGCCACAAATAAAATGGACCAAATTTGAAACCTGTAGTGAGTGATGTGACACATCCCTCGTGTTTTGTCGGTAACATCCTTAATAAACATCTCTCAAGCACGTGCGATGAATGCAGCAGCCTTAATTGCAGGAAGGCCTGGGATTGAACGAAGGCTTGGGATAGAGCTAGCAAGCGAAGGCTTAGGATTCAACGTGAAGAGGTTGCAGGACTTCACCCAGATTGTACACGACAGTTCTAACCTGGGAATGCTGATAATGGTGTTTCAAGACCGCATAGGTGGGCTGCATGATTAAGTACGGTGAAGGATGGGTTTACTATGGACTTCCATTCAAAGTCAACTTCATCTTGGGGAGCAACAGTAAAGTCAGGAGTTGAGGGAAGAGCATGGACCTACAATGGCGGTGCACATGCATGACAAATAGAATGAGAGGAAAAGGAAAAGAAAAAGCAAAAGCAAATCTGCTTCTGCTGTCCCTCAGCCTTGCAAAGCATCTTTATTTCAGTTTTTGGAGATGCGCAAGGGAAAGAGAAAAGAAGAAAGCATCAAGCAAAGCAGAAAAAGAAAAGAGCAAAGCAGAAAGTAAAAAAAAGCAAAAGCAGATAATATTAATGGGGTGCATAGTGGGGTGGTGCAGTCCATATCCATCATGATGATGGGCCAACAAGCCAGCTCATTCGAATTCAAATCTGACAGCAGATGTTACTCCCAGTCTCTCAAAAAACCATCCAAGCCAATGAACGCTACCAACAGAAGCAACCCAGTACGCGGTAGGCGCAGTACGCACCAACGATCAGCAACTATCGAAACCCTTATTTTTGAATGATGTAATTTATTTTTCATATCTTTCGAAAACATTTGTATAAACCCCATCAGAGGGTAATAATAAAAAAATTAAAAAAAAACGGTAAAGCCCAAAACAAATGGGCTGGAATGTTGTGTAGAGGGCGAAGGCCCATAAGCCCAAAATAGCTCCAACCAGACGATCAAAAGTACACCCAGTACTCCACAATTATTCGGCAACATGCCGCTATTACCACCAACCAGGTGATCAAAAGTACGCCCAGTACTCCAAAATTATTTGGCAACCCGCCGCTATTATCACCAACCAGGTGATCAAAAGTACGCCAAGTACTTCCAAAATTATTCGGCAACCCGCCGCTATTATCACTAACCAAGTGACCAAAAGTACGCCCAGTACTCCAAAAATTTATTTGACAACCTGCCGCTATTACCACCAACCAGGTGATGAAATGTACAACCCGTACTGTAATATCATTTGGCAACTAGCCATTCATGCCACCAACCAAGTGATGAAATGTACAACCCGTACTCTAATATCATTTGGCAACTAGCCATTCATGCCACCAACCAGGTGATGAAATTTACATCCCGTACTCTCCTTCATGCCACCAACCAGGTGATCAAAAGTACGCCCAGTACTTCAAATCATACATAAGCATTACTCATGTCAATCATACATAAACATTCATGAGCATTACTCATGTCAATCATACATAAACATTCATGAGCATCACTCATCCAATCATACATAAACATTCATGAGCATCACTTATGTCAACATCCATTAGCATCACTCATGTCAATCAACATAAACATTCATGAGCATCACTCATGTCAATCAGCTTCAAAAGCTTCATTTACAAAAGCTCTAACTTCAATAGCTTCATTTACAGAACTCTAGCTTCAAAAGCTTCATTTACAAAAGCTCTAGCTCCAAAAGCTTCATTTACAGAGCTCCAGCTTCAAAAGCTTCATTTATAGAGCTCTAGCTTCAAAGCTTCACTTGCAAAGCTTCACCTGCAAAGCTTCACCTACAAAGCTTCAGTGTAGGGTATACAAATACCGCCTCCGAACAACCGCCATTTCGGCCCATACATTGATTTAATTTGAAGTCTCTAGCCAACAGACTCTATAGACCGAAGACTTGGGGGACTACATTATGTACCATATATTGGGCCTCAACTAGGCCTCATGAAAATACTTGGAGGACTTAGCCCATTATCTATGTACTGAGGAAGGAGCCCTTATTCTATAAAAGGGACTCCCTCACTTTCATTAGAGAGCACTCATGAAAAATACTTAGGGGACTTAGCCAATCACTTATGTATTGAGGAGCAAGCCCTTATTTTATAAAAGGGACTCTCTCACCTTCGCTAGAAAGCATCGCCGCCAGCTGAGCAACCACATCGCCACAAGCATCACTCCTAACCCATTATTCATGTATTGATGAGCGAACCCTTATTCTATAAAAGGGACTCTCTCACCGTCGTTAGAAAGCATCGCCGCCAGCTGAGCAACCGCATCACCACAAGCATCACTCCTAACCCATTATTCATGTATTGAGGAGCGAGCCCTTATTCTATAAAAGGGACTCCCTCACCATCATTATAGAGCATCGCTGCCTACTGAGCAACTGCCTCACCACGAGCATCACTCATAACCCATTATTCATGTACTGAGGAGCGAGCCCTTATTTTATAAAAGGGACTCCCTCACGATCATTAGAAAGCATTCACTCTAGCCCATCATTCATGTATTGAAGATCAAGCCCTTATTCTATAAAAGGGACTCCCTCACCTGTAACGCCACAAGCCGAGCCAACCAAGGCAACATAAGCCACGAGCTGAGCAGCCTCGCAGCATGTACTACTTCTAGTTGAGCATCATTTCAGATTGAACACCGCCTCATATCGAACATCAGTTCAAGATAACATCTAGCTACTTCAGCCCATACATGGACTGAATTTCAAGTCTCCAACCAAAAGACTCTCTTGACTGAAGACTTGGGGGACTACTGTTTATACCATATTTAGGGCCTCGTATTTAGATCTCGTACAAATACTCGGGGGACTTAAATGTAATTATGTGATAAAGGAAGGGGCAAATATGTAATAAGTGAGGAGTCCTTATTCTATAAAAGGACCCCTCACCTCACAATTAGAGGAGGCCAATTCCTAAGGCTCCTCACCCCCTCAAGCTCACTCTCAGAGCTCTCTCTCTCTCCCTCAAATAAATACATAATCAGTGTGGACATAGCCCAAACCTTGGGGTGAACCACGATACATCTTGTGTTATTTACATTTCTTGCAGATTCACGATCAAATTTACGTTGTTCCAAGTCCTCCGGTTTTATGCATCAACAACTTATAAAGATAACGTAAACGTGAAATACGAATTTAAATTATGAAATCACTTGTTATACATAAAATACTCAAGATAGAAAGAAATATATAAAAGAAATCTAGCTAGAGCGGTTGCATCAAAGAGAATGCCATTCTATCGCGATCGGAGTGCAGTGATTCCTTTTTCATGCCTCCAAACTCAAACTTTCATTCTCCTTCAATGCAATATTACAATATTAAATCCTTTATGAAAACATCAAGTCAACAATAGATATGTAGTAACATATCGTCAAAATACGTATATAATAAAATGAAGTTAAAATAATTGTATTGAAATCAAAATTGAAAATAGAAAAAATTTCACCTACATATTCATAGTATCACGTACTCCGAAGGTAAGCGTGTAATATGGGTCAAGCCCAAACAATAAATAACTAAGTAAATAATCAAATAAAAATGTTAACTTAAAAGGACCTACTTGTCCACTTGCTTAACAACACAACGAATGAGTTATTGATATTATAGTCTGCAGCCCGTAACACCGACAACTCACTATTGTCTCGATAAGCAAGTAGTAAATTCCTGAGGGTGCAATATTACCATCATGCCCCCATTGGGAAATACACCTAAAGCAACTGAATAACGACGATCATGTTCACATACTACCTTCTCGGGTGATAACATCAATAGCACACAAATGAGCTATATCGTAAATTCGATTCTTCAATATACCTGTTCACAAAATTCTCATGTCAATCATGTACTATATATAAAATCTTTATACAACGTCTCCACAGTGTTATACCCAAAACCAAAAATTGTAACCGTAGTTAAAAGCAACTAAAATAAAGATAATTGTATGTTGCAACCATGCTAATTGTAGGACAAACAAAATGTAACACGTCCACTAAGGTATGAGTAGCTCGTTTCAACTAATCGTTAATCTAAGGGTGAAAATGTGATACTAAACAAAACTTAATACTCATAACCTTCAAAAAAAAAAAACTTCCCAAGACTTGGAAGCGAAACATGCATCACAATAAGATACAATAATGTCATGCACGCTATGCAACTGAACATTGCAATTCACATATGCCTCAGCACGTAGATTCATTAAGAATTTCTCTCAAGTTTAGCGAAAAATTATGTCGAGAAGGCTAAAGAACACTCAAGAATTTGAGAGTCAGAACAAGTCCATCAAATCTAGAGTATAAAATAACTACATTAAATACATATATCTTGCTACAACTGTAGCTTTATGAATATTCAATCACCAACAGTAAAGATTCGTTTAACAGAGCATTTGTTGGGTGATTAAGGAATTAATCGTCACAACTAAAATTTCAGTGTCCAAGCGATTCTTTTAGACGATCTGACTGTCCCAGAAACAATACGAAGTGCAGTGGGTTTGCCACATACCCAAGGTTGATTGAGATGAATTCCGGCACAAACAGGTGAATATGAATCACAGTCAAAGTAGATGTTGGTTAAAACGTCAGAAAATCTGAAAATTTCAAGAATGAGTAATTTAACTAAATGGTCTAAAATGTAGTCCCTCTAGACCACTAGAAAGTGAGTTGACTTGTCAAATCGGTCGATAATCACTGAAACATCATCATGATATCCACATATAGAAGATACCTCGTACCATGAGCTTGTGGTGATATTTCCCATCTTCATTCGGATACAAAAAGTGATTATAATCACTGGAATGATTTCTTGATGATTTGTAAGTAACGTCAACCCAATGCTCGTGAATTCCAACTAAAATGAAATAAGACAGGCCAAAAGAATTTCGAGAGTAGACAATGTCTTTTGTTGCGGTAAACAGTAATTACGTTTACACAATGGGGATGATACACGATTATGTAATCGTAGATGTTGATTTGGTTCCTCTATCACCATTGTCAGAAATCTAATTCCTTTCAAATGGATATGTACTTGCGAGGTCTAAGATTGATAGAGATTTTGGGCACGTTTCTCTACAGAGAAGTGTCATCCAGCTTTCAAGTAAAGATGGTAACTGTTAACTCTAATTAATGAATAAGATGGTTAATTTTGAACAATTATACACATTGGGAAATAGAAATACTCCGCTATGCTGCCTCTACACAGTCGAAACATTCGAGGAAAACGTCAC